TGCTTTTGTGGGGCGCCGCAATATTCCATTATATTATTTTGCCCTCTTGTTTATTCCTATATAGCACTTTAGAACCCTAGCGACTTGATGCTGATATAGAATACCAGTAATCCCACGTGACTGTGTCTATCCTAACTCTGTGATTATATCATTCACTCTAGCGTCTGACGATTTGTACCCTTTCTGTTCTCTCTCTTACGGCTTGAGGAAGGCGCGTAAGCTTCCAGTTTGACCCTAAGGCTGAAACTTAGGTTCGAATAACTCGACGTTCTTATTTACGCGTGATCTAACTAAGTTCCTGATATCATACCGAGTTTGGGCCTGTGTATACACTAATTTCGTGATGAGTGGGCTAGTTCGTATTAGATGACGAGAATAAGGCTTACCAAGTACTAGTATTTTTCCTATTTGGGTTTCTATCTCTATATTAAGCTGCTTTTTCTAGATGGTGTGTCTGCTATGTATATTGATGAGTCTATTCTCACTAATGTGCTGAATATTATCTTCTGACTCAGCACATAGTGGATCATAAATTGAGACATAAAGTATCTGCTTAGTGTAAGTATATGGTGTTGTTGATATAGAACTTTGTACTGATGTATCTATTATCTTGTTTGACGAGGAACTGTAGTAAGTCTCGTGCACTCTTATAGTCACTAATCCTATCTAACTGTTAGAGGAGTGATATCCTCTATATACATATTTGAGCCTTTTTATGGCTATCGAGGAGCTCTTTGATATATGGTAACTGAGCTGTGATGCTGATACTAGTAGTAATAAAAAAGGCATGTCTATAGTCGCCGACTTTGCTATTTAAATTCTAATTAATAGACGATGGGCTAAAAGGCCTGTCGATCTAAGTCTTGTAGTTTTTATTTGGTTTAATGTGATCGAATAGTCTCTTTGTGAAACTAGACCGGGGCTGAAGTAGGATTGAGATTGAAACCGCCTGGTTATTGATATTATTCTCTTACTAACTGATTGTAAAAGGGTGTGATTGAAAAATATAAAATATTCTAATGGAGGGAATATCTAGGTTGATGCGTTGACCGGCACACATGACCTATGGTCTAGGTAATGATAATGTTATTTGAATGATATCACTTATATAGGGTTGTAAATTCATTCAGATATGGCTTCTTCCTACCACTGCATTGTGATAGATAATATGAATTAGCTACAACAGCCCTGTGATAACGAGGGTGTATATGAATACTAGTAGAAACACCCAAAAGTTCTCTTTAGCTGATCGGATATACTGCCACACTGCGTAGATTATTGTTGCCGCGTATCCAATATAGATTACAAGAAATACTTCGTAGACCCTTTTTTTAACTAGTGGTAGAACCATCAAAGCCAGGAATATACTGGCGGCCTTGGCTAAGGTTTAGTATATATATAATTTGGAGAAACTGGGAAAGCTTACCAGGAGACTGTAAAATTGTATTTCGTTTTCCCATAAAATCAGCTGTGATTGAGCAACGATTATAATATGAGCTAGAGCCTCAAATAGAGTCACTAATGCAAATGTTTGATGTAGAAATCTATAGGACTGGAGGGAAATTCTAAGAAGACGAGTAGCAAACTCGTAACCACCGCCCAAAAATATTGGAAATAAGTTAATGAGAGAGAGCTTTGCTGCTCTTTTGCTAGTATCTTAAACGGAATGGACCTGTATAATATTGCTGATACCAGTGCCGGCGAAATAAACAGCTGTGAATATTAAATGGGTTCTTGATGTATATCTAAATCTGAGGAACTGCTAGTAGGACCGGGTATAAATCACATAACACAATAAGAAAGACTGAACACAAGAAGATAAGAAAGAAGAGATTGATAAGAATGAGCAAGTACATAAAGTAAGATGATATAATAGGAATAAGAAAGCGATAAAACTGATGACTACTCCATAAATTGCTTCCGGTATAGTCGGAAAATGAGTGATGGCAAAAGTAGTTATCTATACAGGAAAAAAAAATAAACTTCTTTATTTACTTTAGTAGATACCAGGGGTATATTTATATGTCTTCATTATCTCTCCTGGTGGTTAGTGATGATAAAATATGAGTGGCCTTTATTGGTATGACCGGCCCGAGTCTATAATCATATCTCTGTAGTTGCTAGTGTCCACCTTAGGGTTTTACAGGGCAAAAAGGGGGTTTAAACGCCTGCTGGTGTGAGGAGAAAAAGGAGGGTGCTTTCGTGTGCCCGATTCGTGTCCGCAACTCTGCTTTCGTGTCTGTGACTCTGCTTTCATGTCCGCGACTCTGCTTTCGTGTCCGCGACTCTGCTTACATGGCTGCCACTATGTTTTGCGTGTATCTGGAGCTTTAGTCCAGTGTCTGAGGACTGGCTCAATATTAGAAAAGCACTAGCTTTTACTTTTGCTGCGGCCTAATCACAACCTGACAGGCAGTGTCTCTATCATAACTTCGGGTATTATCTGCCATCTGTGATACCGGAAAGGTAGTGAAAACCGACTGTTTATGCTCTAAGGAAATGAACCAAGCTTGACTAGATGGAAATTATGATAAAGTATACCACCTTCGGTATGTATCAGTAGCTAGCTAATATTAGTCAATTCGAACATGCTAAAGATGACCCAATTTGAAGATTTGAATAATCCTTCCCTAACAGCTATTGCTAAGAACAATCCCTAATGCTAATTTAGAAACCTCGATTGTGATGGGCCTAATCCTGAAAGGTGAGATTTTCAATTACACTTTATGCTGGGATCTTAACGTATTAAAATACTAATTAGATATGGCCTATCCTATCTTGGATATCCTACCCTGAAGTATTCTATGAAATTGGAAAGTCGATCAGGCGGGTTGCGGATGGCTAAGTCTTGGTAACTATTTTGGATACTTAACTGTCTTGATTAAAACAAAGACTGCCGACAAAAAGCTTACTAGCTTCTTTAAACTGCAAGTTGCGTTCTACGAAAATATAGTGGGTCTTGTAGAGGTATTCTACGATAGCAGAGCCACTTATTTGGTTTACAATTACTGTGGATTTGCTGTCAATCTTTCGTAAGTCGGCTTAACTCCTGCCGTACAGTTAAGTGAGATCGATCTCGCTAGTATCTGCAGGAGCGTTCTTAGGGGTCTTGAGTATATCTATGAACAGCTTCTGATAGCCTATGGGCGTGTCGACTGTGATAACATTATCCTATGTTCAGATGGAGGTATTAAGATAGGTAAGTTTCATATACTGTTTTCATTCATCGACACAAAACTAATTGTTTAGCCAACATCGGAGACAGTATGATCGATGATGGACCCACGTCTATAGATTTAGATCGCGAAAAGGTTGGATTACTGTTGCTTTAACTGGGTGATCTATAGAGATCTCTAGATGAACGTGAAGACCAAGCTAGAGCCCGGCAAATCGGGTTTAGGCTGTCGAAGTATGCGATTCATTTTGTAGAGCATATTAGCTCAGCATCTTTTTCTTACTTATTCGAGGTTGGGCTCTCTATATAATGTTCCTTAGTCTTATGCTCACAACTCACAGCATGCATTCTTGCAGCAAGTACAACCAGACAGTCGGACGTGGTATCTGATACAGTCACTAGCGAAATCTGCTTCCTCCCTAACACTTGCTTTTCTTTTCTCGGGACCCACTGCCAAGGCACTAGCGCCAGAATCTATTCAACGGGCATCAATATATAGTCACTACGCATAAGTCTTCACACCCTTGGCCCCACATCGTATCATTATATAATATTCTGCTGGTCAAATTATCCGCCTAAGATTTGCCAGGTAGTTATTATATCCAACTTATCACGATAAAAGTCATCCTGCTAAATAGCAACTGGCCTCAATATGCAAGAGGAGTTTTGTCACGGGTGCTTTAGGTATTTTGGGCGTCTTATGGCATGACTTGGTGAACGTTTGGTAGGCGGTATCGTTAAGATGCGGGCGGTGTAATAGGTGGGGGTTTCAAGGGGGTGTTAAATACTTTTGAGTAGTCACTGTAAAATCCCTCCTGAATGTATTGAGTTGTAATTTACAGCGAAATTACCATTTCAAATGTACTCATCATTTGGAGGCATGGTTTTTGGTTGGAGTGTGCTTAATATTGGATAATGCACGTGATCATTGAATTGCAGGGCGATTGGCTATGAAAGATCCATTCGATAGTTGCCGCCCTCAAATTACTGCTTCCATGAATAATTCTCCGTTAAACTGCATCAACTTATAAATGTCAGATTACGATCATAGTAATTCATTTTTTTCCCTTACATCTAATTCGAACCGTTTTTTTATTCCCGCTGTATTGTGGGATCTTGACATAGTCCAAGGACGCAGAATTTTGATGGCCCTCATGATTCGAAGATTAGATGCTGATGTTATCCCTAATCCCGGAATAGTGACTCCTTATCCCCAAATAATATCATAGAATATTCTCTCGAGTTGATAGAGCGGATTATTGTATTTCCATACCGGTAGACAGCACGTGACCTAATGAATCAGGTAGGTCAAGGCGGGGTTGATTTACTATTGGTGCCCCTTTTGGTGGAAGTGGGTCCACAAAAGAGGAGGTTTCGGTGCGGCGCGCCCCGTTGCCAATGCAACAGACCAGACTTCCCCAGTAATAGGACTTCATGGAAGGTTATACTGATTAGATATCTCTACCAACAACCGTCAATTGCATCACAAAATAAATTGGACAAGATGAGTGCATTCTAAGGCTGATCTTGGCATTTCTTTGCTTCGATGGGATGGAGAAGACGGCTCCTGCCAATAGCGTCTCTTCTCTAGCCGCCGGCTGCTGCACGTCGTGTTCATCATGGGGCTGAGCCTCCCCAGTTGGCAAAGATTTTCCCTCTATCTTACAGGGCTTCTTTTCTTCTCTCAAGTCTCCTCCGCTCTGCTTTGCTCATAGTGGCATATGTTGTCCCAATAAGCTAGGCTTCTATTGCACACCAAACATCAGGACTTTCGAAAGGTCGCGCGGATAACTGATTTTCAGAATTTTTCTCTCGCGTTGAAGCCATGTCAGATCCTGCGGCGTACACTATAGGCTGGATTTGCGCCTTACCCGTGGAATACATTGCCGCACAAGAGTTTCTCGATGAAGAGCATGACAAACCGAGCTTTGTGTCGCCCAACGATGCCAACGACTATACGCTAGGCAGGATGAGCGAACACAACGTTGTCATCGCCGTATTGCCCGATAGTGAATATGGAACAGCTTCCGCGGCCAGTGTAGCGACGAACATGCTCAACAGTTTTCACAACATTAGGATCGGCCTCATGGTCGGGATTGGCGGTAGTGTACCAAGCGACAGCCATAATATTCGTTTGGGCGATGTTGTGGTTAGTACGCCTCGCGGTGGCGAGAGTGGTGTGTTTCAATACGACTTTGGCAAGTCGATCCAGGACCAAAGTTTTCAGCATACGCGGTTCTTGAACCAGCCACCAGCTATTTTGCGCGCTACAATGTCGGGGATTCGAACACAATACGAGAGAAAAGGGCATCAGCTCAAGGAGGCTATCAACGGCATTTTTAGAAAGAACATAAGACTACGTCGGAAGTACAAACGGCCAGAACCAATTACGGATAGGCTGTTTCTTCCCGAAGCTATCCATAACCAAGCAAGCTATGCTATATGTGCGGTTGATCCTTCAACGTTGGTACTACGGAGTGAGCGGGCCGACGACGAAGATAACCCTACCATTCACTATAGCCTGATCGCTTCTGGCAATCAGTTAATGAAGGATGCTTTGATTCGAGATCGGCTTACCGCGGAAAAAGACGTCCTCTGTTTCGAAATGGAAGCAGCGGGGCTAATGAATACTTTCCCATGTCTCGTCATCCGAGGCATCTACGATTACTCGGACTCACATAAGAACAAAGATTGGCAAGGGTATGCAGCTATGGTGGCAGCTACATACGCCAAAGACCTTCTACAGAGGATCTCTCTCAACAGAATTGAAGCCGAGGAGAGAATAGGTGCTGTTGTGTCTGGTTGGTCTAGCGCAGTTTTATAATTATTACGTGAGGAAATATTAACCTAGGGAATACTTAGATGAGCTGAAAGGCATCCGACATCGCTTAGATCAAGCATACAGTCAACACGAACGGCACTTTAGTGAACAGAAAGCAAGAGTCTTAACGGACCAGCAGCGCAGTTGTTACCAAGTATTCAAGATCATCAATTACGCGGAGCAAAAGAACATAAACCCTAAACGAGCTAAGGGAACCTGTCGATGGGCTCTCCGGAGCTCTGAGTACATCCGTTGGTAGGAGAGCAACCGCAATGACCTTCTCTAGGTGTCGGCTGACCCAGGCTGCGGCAAGTCTGTCCTAGCCAGATCAATAATCGATGATTACTCAGAGACCTCTCATCCAACGGTGAGAATATATTACTTTTTTTTTAAAGACAATAATAAACAGAACAATCTTGCTACGGCACTATGTTCGGTGCTTCATCAGCTATTCAGCCAGCAGCCTCATCTATTACAATATACCATTCCGGCCTGGGAAAAGAATGGAGGGACGCTCCGACAAGAAGTTGACGAACTTTGGCGGATCTTGATAGCGGCAACATCAGCTAACATATCCTGTAAGACGATTTGCATACTCGATACGCTTGATGAATGCCGTGAAACGGATCAGCGCCGATTGATTAAAAAGCTCCAAGCGTTTCATCGCCAGCCATCTTCATTAACAGAGGAAACCTGTTTGAAATTCCTGGTGACCAGTCGTCCCTACGATCATATACAGGATCACTTTCGAGCAGTCACCGATTCTTTTCCACATATACATATCAAGGGGGAGGAGCAGAATGACCAAATCCATGAGGAGATTGATCTGGTGGTGAGGATTCGGGTGAGAGAACTAGCTAGGACAGTGCCACTGTCACCGGAGCTTCATCATCGAATCGAACAGCAGCTGCTTCAAATGGAACACCGTACATATCTTTAGCTACACCTAGCCATTGATGATATCCGCACTACCTTCAAAGACAGCCTCCGGCCTACAGAGGATTGGATCACGCTGATTCCGCCTTCTGTGAATAAAGCATATGAAAAGATACTCTGTCGAGTTCCAGCCGGTCTAATGAATAGAGTCAAGAAGATCCTAGAGATCATCGTGGCGGCACGGCGTCCTCTGACAATAAGAGAGATGGCTATGGCGTTAGGAATTGCTACTAGCTCAGGATCACCAACAACCAAACAGGCTGGGCTAGCTCCAATTGGTCTTGATGGCAAGCTTCGGCGATGGTGTGGCCTGTTTGTCTTTACGAACAATTCGAAAATCTATCTCATCCATCAAACAGCCAGGGAATTTCTCATTAAGAAGAAAATTTCGAGCAATCCCACTTCTGCATACTGGAACAGTGTGACTGATGCGGAAGATCAGATGGCTAAGATCTGTTTGAGGTACTTGTTGATGGAGGATTCAGAATATGATGAAGACGAATCGGGCTCCCTTACTGGAAGTTTCTTGGAATATTCAGCAACACATTGGCCCGATCACGTACGAAATATGGCTTTGACTTCAATTCAAAAAGAAACTGACCGAGTGCATCGATTATACGACATAAGTGGGAAACCCTTTTCACTGTGGTTTCCTATTTTTTGGAAGGTAGCCGGCCCATACCGCGAAATTCCTGTGATGAGTGCACTTCATCTGGCAGCATTCAATGGCCATGAACAGGAGGTACGATCTATACTTAGCGTGGATAAAAGGGATGTCAATACACCTGATGATACAAAAACATATCCCCTTATATGGGCTTCATTGAATGGGCACGATGAAACTGTGGAACTTCTGCTAGAGCGAGGAGCCGATGTCAATGCCCAGGGTGGATTATACGAAAACGCCCTCTACGCTGCGTGTTTTAAGGGACACGACAAAATCGCACAGATGCTGCTAGAGCGAGGAGCCGATGTCAACGCCCAGGGTGGATTCTACGAAAATGCCCTCTACGCTGCGTGTTTTAAGGGACACGACAAAATCGCACAGATGCTGCTAGAGCGAGGAGCCGATGTCAATGCCCAGGGTGGAGAGTACGGAAATGCCCTCCAGGCTGCTTGTGCTGGGGGACACGACAAAATCACACAGATGCTGCTAGAGCGAGGAGCCGATGTCAACGCCCAGGGTGGATTATACGAAAACGCCCTCTACGCTGCGTGTTTTAAGGGACACGACAAAATCGCACAGATACTGCTAGAGCGAGGAGCCGATGTCAACACCCAGGGTGGATTCTACGAAAATGCCCTCTACACTGCGTGTTTTAAGGGACACGACAAAATCGCACAGATGCTGCTAGAGCGAGGAGCCGATGTCTATGCCCAGGGTGGAGAGTACGGAAATGCCCTCCAGGCTGCTTGTGCTGGGGGACACGACAAAATCACACAGATGCTGCTAGAGCGAGGAGCCGATGTCAACGCCCAGGGTGGATTATACGAAAACGCCCTCTACGCTGCGTGTTTTAAGGGACACGACAAAATCGCACAGATGCTGCTAGAGCGAGGGGCCGATGTCAATGCCCAGGGTGGAGAGTACGGAAATGCCCTCCAGGCTACTTGTGCTAGGGGACACGACAAGATCACACAGATGTTGCTAGAGCGAGGAGCCGATGTCAACGCCCAGGGTGGAGAGTACGGAAATGCCCTCTACCCTGCTTGTTTTGGGGGACACAACAAGATCGCACAGATGCTGCTAGAGCGAGGGGCCGATGTCAATGCCCAGGGTGGAGAGTACGGAAATGCCCTCCAGGCTGCTTGTGCTAGGGGACACGACAAGATCACACAGATGCTGCTAGAGCGAGGGGCCGATGTCAACGCCCAGGGTGGATTATACGAAAACGCCCTCTACGCTGCTTGTTTTGAGGGACACGACAAAATCGCACAGATGCTGCTAGAGCGAGGGGCCGATGTCAATGCCTAGGGTGGAAAGTACAGAAATGCCCTCCAGGCTGCTTGTGCTGGGGGACACGACAAGATCACACAGATGCTGCTAGAGCGAGGAGCCGATGTCAACGCCCAGGGTGGATTATACGAAAACGCCCTCTACGCTGCTTGTTTTAAGGGACACGACAAAATCGCACAGATGCTGCTAGAGCGAGGGGCCGATGTCAATGCCCAGGGTGGAAAGTACAGAAATGGCCTCCAGGCTGCTTGTGCTGGGGGACACGACAAAATCGCACAGATGCTGCTAGAGCGAGGGGCCGATGTCAATGCCCAGGGTGGAAAGTACAGAAATGCCCTCCAGGCTGCTTGTGCTGGGGGACACGACAAGATCACACAGATGCTGCTAGAGCGAGGAGCCGATGTCAACGCCCAGGGTGGATTATACGAAAACGCCCTCTACGCTGCGTGTTTTAAGGGACACGACAAAATCGCACAGATGCTGCTAGAGCGAGGGGCCGATGTCAATGCCCAGGGTGGAGACTGCAGAATTTCCCTTCGTGATGCTTGTTCCGAAGGACACTACAAATGTGGCCGAAGCCCTTTATCGCGCGCCGCCCAGAATGGAGACCAATCCGTGGTAAAGATGCTCCTCGACACTGGCAAGGTGGATCCCGACTCGAAGGACAAAGATGGCCGAAGCCCTTTATCGTGGGCCGCCCAGAATGGAGATGGAACCGTCGTCAAGATGATCCTCGCCATGGGAAAGATGGATCCCGACTCGAAAGACGAAGATGGCCGAAGCCCTATATCGCGTGCCGCCCAGAACGGAGACCAATCCGTGGTGAAGATGCTCCTCGACACCGGCAAGGTGGATCCCGACTCGAAAGACAAAGATGGCCGAAGCCCTTTATCGTGGGCAGCCCAGAACGGAGACCAATCCGTGGTGAAGATGCTCCTCGACACCGGCAAGGTAGATCCCGACTCGAAAGACAAAGATGGCCGAAGCCCTTTATCGTGGGCAGCCCAGAACGATGATGGAGCCGTCATCAAGATGATCCTCGCCACGGGAAAGGTTAATGTCGACTGGAAAGATAATCATGGCCGGACTCCCCTGTCAAGGGCCGCCGAGAATATAAACGTGGCCCCATTCAAGATGTTACTCGCCACGGACAATGTTTATACTGATTCAAAAGACAAGAATAACCGAACACCACTGTTTTTGGCCGCTAAAAACGGAAGAAAAGACGTGGTAAAGCTGCTCCTTGACACTGGAAACATCCACGTGGACTCGAAAGATAGCTGCAATTGGACGCCATTATCGTGGGCCGCTAGGAACGGACATGAGGCGGTGGTGAGGTTGCTCCTTGCTACGTGTAACGTTCATGTTGACTCAGGAGATAATTACAACTGGACACCACTATCATGGGCTGCACAGAATGGACATGAGACCGTCGTCAATATGCTTCTCGACACGGGAAATGTCAGCATTGATTCGAAAGACATCTACGGCCGAACCCCGCTGTCATGGGCCCGCAAAAACGGGCATAAGATGTTGGCCTATACCCTCATCGGTATGGGCAGTGTCGAGCCTTAGAGCCATGGATGGCAAGCTTCAAGACGACGTGATGATCGTACTGTAGCGAGAGATGCGGACGATACTATGAGAGTTCCATTACAATTGCTAGACCTTGGCCTTAGATCGATGTCAACAAAAGTTGGCACTGAGTCTACCAGAGGGAGTGGACACGGCTCTTATTTTGACCGATGGAGCAAGGAGATACGGAGTATTTTGCTCTCTGTTCTGTCGATTACCAAGGTTGAATACATGGATTTTGTCATTTTATTTATAGTATTGCATATCATTGATCCATACCATACATTGTCGTATGGCCAGATTTCTGTCATGTTGTTTAAAAGTGGGATCAAATACCCTTATGCTAGTTCTACTGTGCAGGGTATACGATATGTCGCTCATATGAGGTGACATGGCAGTTATCTCGGGTAAAGTAGATCAAAATAAAGTAGAGACTGATTTTTAGAAAACTAGAAGATATTGTCAGAAGTATGGAGGATCTATCTGTATGTGGATTTCTGGGTATTTCTACAACGAAAGTTAAACTTAAATAATAAATTATTCAATAATAGTATGATGTTTTATTTGAAAAACAAATTTGTTCACTATATTTCCAAATACCAGACAATACCTACACAGTTACAGTGACTGGACATAAGTAATTGCACCCCTTGGCCCCACACCCATTCTATTACGTAATGTTCTGCCAGCTAAAAAAAAAACCTTTATTATAATTACATTAACTAATATAGCACATAATTAAAGGGCTAGTCTTATGGATCTAGTAAATGAAGAATACAATCTTTGAGTCGCCAAAAAGCAACCTCGCGTGCTATTTTGAAATGGTACTGTTTATAAACAGTGTGGGCTTTAGGAAGGCGGTATCATTGGTGAAGGCGGTGGGGCCAAGGGGTGCAATTACTTATGTCCAGTCACTGAATCTTTATATTAATGTCTGTCAAATAAAATATTCCCTTAGTGTCTTGGCAGTGGGGCCCGAGAATAGAATGGCCATGCTTGGGGCGGAAGCTGATTTCGCTAATGACTGTACCTCATTATCTAGATACAATCATGCACTGGGGTGTTTTTCCACAAGAAACGGACAGATAAATTAATCGGATGAGATTTTAGTTCTGCATTTTTAAATCTCTCGCTTCCACTTAAGACGAAAAATTATACAGTATCGACCGCTTTCGCCTTCGATGTTGGACAAAGTAGAGCAGCCTTTTCAAACCCTAGTCATAGGAGTCGCTAAGCCGTATTTGGTTAATTTTGTATTGAACGATCCGTCACAAGGCCGACTGGTATATATAACACAACGAAGAAAATTGAACACACCAATATAAATTGAGATATAGGCCTTTTAGCAATTCAAGCTTGGTATTCATCTCATTGGTACAGCCGTATGATCTACTTCACTTGAAATCAAGTCGGTAACCCCGGGTCAATGTCTCATATAAAATGAGCGTTTCACCGTGCTCAAGATGTTGAAGAGTGGCCCAAAATCGTCCTTCTACATCCTCATATGTCTTCAAAATATCATCCAGGCTCTTGTCTTCTTCCAGAACTCTCCGGCGTGTAATTTCGTCCAGTAATTTTTCACCAAACATAGCATAATTTTCCAGCGCATTTTGTCCAACCCGGATAATGACAATATCATCCAGCCAAGATGACCTCCGATTACTCCCCTGGTCAATGCATCCACACTCCTTTTTTGAGTATCTATTAACTCCAGAGTCACGGAGCTGCCCAAGGAACATTGAACGACAAGTCGTTATGAGATACAGTTGTTGCAAAACAGACACGGATTCGTTCAGGCCATTGAAATGTGCTTCGTGTTTCTCAAGGTCACGAATAGCAGAAGTTATGCAGGTCATGCAACGGGCTTGGTTTTTTCGTTGAACTGTCCCGGAGTACTGGCTGGAATTTCAGCATATTGCTCTTATAGCCTAGAATTTCCACGTACCAGCGTATGATGTTAAGGCAAGTGCTCAGCGCATGGAATAACGCCAAAACAACCTCCTGGAGTTGATATATGCCATAGCCCGTCACCGACATCTCCGTTATATGAGAGGCGTCTCCATTAGGTGAGGCCTGCTTGGTCATAGCATCGCAGACTTGTAAGCAAAGCAAATAGAATGCGTCAAGTTGCCGACTAGAAAACCATATGGAGCCCAGTAATGTGTCTGTAATGATCTCATGCCCTCCTCAAGGGCACTGAGGTCAACAAGTCCAGTAGGTTCCAGCTTTCTAATGATCTCCAAAACCAGAGCCGTGGATTTAAAAAGTTGATCTCGGAGGGAAGGTTGAGGCTGAGCATTCATTTCGGCTGTGACAGCACACGGCACGCTAACTTCGCGTTCGAACGAGATTCTGACTCAAATAAAGAATTTGTAATGGCGAAAACAAGTAAGCTAGATCTTGGGTCGACCATTCGTGATTGACCGTTAGGCGTTGTCCTGAAGGTGGGGTAGTGGTGTTTCTGCCAGCGAAGCCTCCACTAATCAAATACCGGAAATACTAGGCGGTAAGCCTGCTCACGAATATATGCGTGAAATTACAATATAACTCACGTACGAAGCAATACACACTGAACTTCCGGAATAACTCGCAATATGTACTAGTGTGTCTTGGCATAAGGGAAAGGAAAGAGTGAAGTTGTTGCGCCGGTTTCGGGACGGACTGTACTATTGAATGCAATGTACATAAGAAGTTTCATGTCATGGGTTATTCTTCATCCTTTTCTGACCGTTTCCCCGGAATAATATCGTATGAGAGGGGAAATCCTTAGATATAGAGAGGCTGTTCGTGGTCGCGAGAAACCTGATTGTGTTCCCGTTTCAGACTCTGTAGTTTGCCAAATTTATAAATATACAGCATAATGAGAGAGCAGGCAACGGACAGGCCAGATGTAATCACGGTCAAAAGTACTATGATAGACCAATCACCATTATAGGCAGTGTATAAGCTAACAATCGTAGTAAGAAAACCAGCTAATGCATTAAGAAGCGTAGGACTAACAAAAATTAGGCAAGATCTCCTATCATTAATGCGTGACACTCATATAAAAATACGATTAATAAGCCAAATAAAATTCCCGCGATACTCCCAGAACAGCCAGCCTATGATCGCTAAGCCCGAGACAAACAGTATATATGCCGTCGCGAGAAGTAGAGGATTCTGGATAGTATTTAGAATCCACTCCCCGGCTTCATTTTCGGCGAGCCCATTGTGGATAGTGTTCGACTTTTAGAGAGACGTGAACGTCCCAGGAATTACCAGATATCCAGCAAGAAGTATCTAGTGCGCTGTACTAGCAAGAATGTTATCTTACCAGGGAATTTCGTCCGCTTCCACGATCATTCGTACGTAACTGGATTCGAAGGGCTCGTAAGTCAAACCGCTAGCTTGATTGTCAGGACGAATAGAGTATTGAGTCGCCATGTCTCCATTTGTGAATTAGATAAACTGTCATAGGGAGGGCAGGCTCTTATTCTTTAAGACACCCTACGGCACATAAAACAGATCGCACGAGAGCCTTTGGTAGAACGGAAACGAAAGCCGAAAGCATAATCCGATGCAGGCGACACCACCCACCGCTCGTTCCTGTCCAATAGAAAGGACGGAATCTCTCTGCCTTGTTTTGGCTAGATCATAGGGTGGCTACTTGGAATATGTTTACAGTACTTCCGGAAATCTGTCCCTTTTGTCTCCGGGAAGCGTCCACATGACCTTCGTCAGCTTACACCCGCTAACGCTACTGTCCGAATCACTCATACACTTACGAGACACGATACGTAACTTATTATCAAGAACCTGTGTCCGAATATAGGGCTACCGTTAATGTGAACTAGCACCTTTTGGGATTAGGGTCAAAAAAATACTGAAAGAGTGTATATGGTGACACCAAGTTCCGGACGTCCTGTATCAAGCTCTGATTGTACGGAGTACTGTGTACACTATCCAACGATTATTGAGAGCCAGGGGAGGTTACTGTACGCCATAGTTAGTTAACTAGATAAACCGGCAAAATATTACATAATATAGGGAGGGGGTGTGGTGCTAGGGGTGTTAAAATCTTCGCTGCGTCAGTGTACATACAGCTTACTACATGCTGTTCGATTGATTCTGATACCTCTTAACGCCAAGATACGTTAGTCTATATTAGGATTAAACGCGGAATATACATATTCCTGTAACTATATCAGAAAACAATGTCGGGACGGGCCGCGATGCTGAACCGCCCGACCGCAACGAACACGAAGATTCACCACCAAACCACCAAATAATTATCACAAGCTACAGACCCTAACAGATAGACCTCTGACACCGCAATCCCACTCCAAGATATGCTCTCAGAACAGCCACGATAAGATCCTTCGTGAAATTCAATCCCTACGCCATGCAATCAGCCCTTTCGCCACCACAAGGTCCCCGTCCTATACAGACGTTGCCCGTACTCCTCCAACCAGTCACCCGAGCAACATACGGACTCTCTCAACGTCGAACACAACACCAACCACATTCACCGACACGTTATATTCCACAATAGACACCTCGAAGATGGTAGAAAATGAAAACGAGAGGATTTCCGCAGGCCAATCCGAGCGGCGGTTGAGACAGAGATCCGGACGATAGAAAACCACATGCACTGGCACTGTCGCGGTGTCACGGTGGATCCGAAAACACGAACCGGATCAGGATAGCTGAGACTGTTCGATGCCCCGTGGCCGGTCCCAAAGCGCCAGGAACGAGCTCTGCTGAAAAATGCGCCATGGAAGGAGATAAATGCCAGAATGGCGGACACTCTGGCCGCCACTCCATCAGAAGGCACGGTAAGACTAAAAACCGACCGACTGATGTCTGCGGTGTAGGATGCGGTGTAGGATGCGGTGTAGGATGCGGTGCATCCCTCGACACCGAGGGCCAAACCGTCACCACACGCAAAGCGATGGTGGACAGCAGATTTGACACAGCTCCGTCATATATAAACATACTGTAGGAATCACGCCCGCTCTGAGCAACGGGCTGGGCGAAAGAAATCTCACCTAGAAAAGACGGCCGAAGGTGCGGCAAAACAATACCACGATGCCATCCCGCAACAAAAGAAAAGGCACTGGAATGAGTTCCTTGCAGACAACGATAACTTATGGAAAGCCGCTAAATACCCGAAGTCGGGAGAGGATGCAGCATTCGGAAGGTACCACAGCTTCAAGGTCTATCCCCAGCAACAGCGCGGCAGCTATTCACATCGACGGTGGCCCCGGTGGTGACTACGCCTCCAATGCCTGGATGCACGCTTTCGAGGATATGGCCATCGGACCGATCAACCGCGTCCAAAGAGTATGAACGCAAGCGATCATAGGGACATTCCTCAAAGTTGCGACCAGCGTAGCGGAGGCGGAGGCCCACACTACCACTACACAACACTAGTTCTAAAGACGGGTCGTGAAAATATAGACGGACACTCACATCCTGCCAGGAACCAACCCTCTCCGCAGGAATACAGCGCGGTTCAAGAAATGCAGAAGATACCACCGTTCGCCGTTGTATCAAATAACAAAGGCGCTGAACAATATCGAGATGGAGACACTCCAGACCATCAACTCATTTGCATTGGTCTTATCAGATCCCAGCGATACGGACCGAAACGGGCGGAGTTATGCAGATTGCGGTAAGCAGTTCGGTACGGAACAATTTGGTAGGATTTGGGGGAGTGATCGAGAAGCAAATACCTCGTTATAAACTGAAACTGAAGACCTTCTTAGTCACAATAGGGGCAAGAGCAGAGCAGAATCCATACTCCGGGGAACTGGTAGCGATGGCACACGCATTGAGCACACTACCAGGACCCAAACAGTGTAGAATCTCGCTCCTCACGAGTAACAAAGCGGTGGCTCTCACGCTAAGGAACCCTCGACAACGGTCCGGCCAGAAACACTACAAAGGCTTGCTAGACAACGTCGGGAGACACGCCAAACAAGTGGTTACAGCACTCCTAGGGAACACACTCGGTAGCTATTATGGAAAGAACCGAGCGTACTAGCTTAACTTCGGATCGGTATAGCTAGATTAAATAGATATCTCTAACGTAACGAACCAACGTCGCGTAGACGGATTGGTGTGTATATAGATAAGCAAGGGAGACCGTAGAGCGCTTCCTCTTTCGATATCGGAAGTGGGCTGTATCCTAGACGGAAATACTGCAATATACCTATACCTACCAAAGGTAATATATCCTTTTTCCTAGGCGGAAAACCGCCTCCGGGTGACTAAAGCTAGACGCGCTTCAACTGCTAAGGATAGGATGTTGAGCACTTAAAGAAGCGCCTTCAAGCCAGTCTACTAACAACGTTACTAACCAACGAGGACCCGCTACGAAGGAGACACGGCACATGGACACTAGAACATATATTGATATATCAGTGATAGTTGCCCTTTCGGCTTAGCCGCCGGGCATTAATGAATTGTGTGTGTATCAAGCTCTTGTCTGCGGAGCGTCCGGATCTCAATTATCCTCATTAGCCTTGCTTCCGATGCGAATGCCTAAAGGCAGAGTTCTGAAGTAGTGTCGCTTCAAACTCCAGGCCCCCCAGGGTTGGCAAGATGCAGGAATTCGTCCTTTTAATAAAATCAGCGATGCCACGAAGAGAAAAAGCTCGAGGTACTGACTTTTATCAGCTTCTCGGCGGTTGTATCTTCCTTAGCTCTCTGCACAAATGAATGGGCCAGCCGTGAAAGCGGTGATATATCAAGGTCATGGCTTAAGCCAAGAATTGCGGCGGTCCGGTCACTTAGGAACACTACGATTGACCCAACGTCTTGGATATCCTTCGGAATCGTATCAGAGGAATGCTCCTTCAATAAGCTTTCGCCAATATTTGCTTCTCGTGAGTTAGCGAAGTTCAAATTGAGCGGACAAGACGTACCAAGCTTAACTTCGCCTTACTAAGTAAGAAGGACGTTGCTAAAATCTAACAAGCTATATGAAGTCCTCAAAGCCGAATAAATGAATTTAAGCCCTTCTAAGATCTCCCTGCAGACTATCGCTATATCCGCATCGCTGAACTAAACATTTCCTACAACACAACCAAGACTGATTGCCAAGTGCTCATACTCATAGACCAAATGAAGTGTATCTCCAGATTGGAAGTAATCAATTAAGGATAGAATGTTTCTGTGACTAGCAAATTTCAGTCCTCGAATTCGCAGTTTTCCAGCGTCACGGTCCTTGATCAGACAAATAGGGAGATTCTCAGTGTCTTTCAAGGCTATTACTCCTATTCCAGCCTGGTCAATATTGTATGTTTTGTGATACTTTTCTAGTGAACTTTTCTTGGAAAGAGTAAGAGATGCGCTCTTTTCGTTTGGTTTAACGGAAACGTCTATTCGGTGCACATGGCTTTTCTCGAACGGCTTTTTCGGCAAGCTTGCTTTACCCACGGCGTCCTCATTCATGCCGTTATCTCCTGTATTGAAGTCGGATTTCTTCGTATTGGCATCTCCTCTATTCGGCTATAATTGATTTGGTAGAAGAGTATATCGTTCCATTCCGTAAATTCCGTGTTGGATCCTGTGTGGTTCAATTCATAAATAGATAGAATAGATAGTGGATGTGTGTTGCTCTGCGAACTTTTTCGTTATGCTTTTGGCTGAGAGAGAGTCGTCCTTGATTTAGGTGAAAAAAAAGAAATTTGGACATGGCCATTTAATTAGCTAGCCGTGCCCTACTTCCTTATTCCTGACAGACACTTTAGATGGAACCTGTTGGCAGTCCCCAATTGGCCAAGATAAACCAAAAGCAGTGTCGCAGCATTAGTCTGCCAGTCGCCAGCAAGAGAGACGCGTCCGAAGATCCTTTCAGTCACTACACCAATAACATGCCTCCTAAAGGCTTCATTTTTACCGGTGCTATGTCATCGTTAGATTGCAAATTGCAAGATGGCCTGTAGAGAACAGAACGTTCCCACGATTCTCATATCGTTGAAATTGAGGGTCGCGGCAATCTTGATAGGCCAATTACCGTACTTTCGGAAATTGGTGTCACCACCTGTAACATTTTCCCACCCAAGATGACGCTAGGCCAAACCCAGTTAGCTCAAGAATAAAACCAATCTTTTAAGTGTATGTAATCTTACTATGTATATCAAGGACACCTTTCCCATCAGATCTCACACGGGAGGTTTACCGAAGGCGAGGCTTAGCTAACCTATGTCTATGAGAGAGATACTGCTTGAAGGTTGATATATGGATGGTATGTATGGGATGGTAGGCAATTCCTCGCAGGCTTTTCTGCATCGCATCTACTGTCTACTCCTACCAATATATAGAAATTGTATGTATTCACCTAATTGGAAATAACTAGTATAGTCTTGTCATATCAAAAACCATGATAATGCTTAGGAGACACGATCTTTAAAGCCTCTTTATCAGCAACAATATTAGCTGGATCCATCTTCCTATAGAGGTTCTCTAATGATCGAAAATGCTCAGATCTGGCGGCGAAGTACCGAGTGAGCCTAGACAAGCGACTCTCGGAGCTTTCCGGTAGGCTTTCCATTTTATTAAAGTTCGATTGTTCTAGATTAGGGTACTTCTATTCCTACTAGTCTCTTAGCTTAATAAACTCTCTTTTGGGCACTATCTAACTTACCAACTTCTTATCACTAGGGGGTCACAGTTTATTATTAACTAAGTTATAGACAAACGATCCTTACTAATGATTGATGACTAAGTATATATCCGCATTACAGAACTTGGTAAGCTTGTGAGCTTTGAGTTTCAATATATGGGATCGTCTCGTGAATTTGACTTGGGAGTTCCTGTTAGGATTAGGCCTATCTATGGCTTCAATTAATAAGGGAATTCAAATGAGATAAACCTTTTTATATGGGCTTTTTATACAGAAGAAAAAGGTCTTATACTTATACCCTAATTTCTTTTTATATCATTATTTAAACACGTGATAAAAACATAATCTAGGTTCGATATAGGTTTAGACAAGTAAATGTTTCTTGGGATAAATATTCTTTGGGCCTTTTGATTCGCGCTTGCGTCTCCTACCCCTGATAGGGCTCTGGATTATATTACAGCTCTGGCAAGGTTAGCGGTAGGGATACCTATGGTTATTTTGGCTAAACGAAGACCGTAGGTCTTGTCTTAAAGCAAATGATGCTATACTCTCTAGGAAGCCCCTAATCCTTTAGCGCTTTTTAGAGCTGGTCTATATATATATATTGACTGTGTGTTCTAGATGGTGAGTTAAGAAAGAAATGGAGCGGTTGTAATATCTATATGAGGGGCAAAGACTGTCTAGACCCCTAAATCTATTGATTAATCTACAATCTGAGATATAACTAAGCCCATCAGGGTAGAGATTTTCTAAAGCTTGGATCACCATCTGTGCCGGTCCTTTACAGCGTATAGACCTGTAACACTAGAATGGAGTCGTGGTATTTTCTGGCAATGAGCTAATGATAAAGAATAATCTAGAGGTGAGTAGTGTAGTTACCGCATCCCAGGCTATCTGTGTATTTCCGATTTAGAGGACGATAAGATTGTGATAGTCCTTTATGGCCTTGACAGTATTAATGATATGAGGTGTATTTCCTAGAGGTACGTCTAGGTGATAACTATCACTTTTGACTGAATCATTCAGATGATCTCTCTATTTTTTCCACTCGCTATCTATCTTTATGGTAGATATCTATATATCAAATCCCTGGTGTATGAAACTGTTACGAAAGATGTGGCGGAAATGTGGAGTCTAATCACTCGGCTACGCTTTTCTAGTATCTAATGATAGTATTCTTATAGACCTTATGGCTGTGGGCCAGATTTGGTGTGAGACTTGATATACAATCTCTCTTGCGAAATTGTACTTTAGTCTACTGTCTTGAAAGGAACCGATTCTTTATAGATCCGCTGGGGTAAAAAAGCTTATAATCCAATGGTTAGTTCTATTACGATAAGATCAGGAATTATCGACTTATAATGGGGCCGCGGCGGTAGCCCTTCCTCTAGATTTCAGTTAGCGCTAACTATAGAAACTAGGGTATAGGGTAAGCTTAAGGCTATATTCTCTATATAGTTGGTTCGTTTTATGTATTATTGGGACGTATTATTCGGAAGTCTTATTATATTAGTAGGAATATGAGCTAAATTGATCGTCGAACTTGCCGTTTTCGTCTCCTGAGTCATGGGATATGTTGAAGTTCCCTATCACAAAAGTACTTGTGTCTCTGGAAATGCTTGTAGTTACTATCCTAACCTTCGGACCGGAGTGTTATGGTCCGGGTGGATCTTCTTAGGTGGTATTAAAAATGTGATGATACTCTCTAAAAGCACTTTTTAAGGCAGAATCGAAGACCTGTGAATCGTAGCAGCTATTATGTAGGAGCTATTAGACCTATTTAGCCATATCCCCAAAGACAGATATATAACTAAAGATTTGGTGAAGAAGTAGAGGCAAGATAGAAAAGCGTCTTGTACAGAAAATTTGATATGCTAATGTATTGAATCGCTCCGAGCATTCTATAACATCCCATACCATTACAAATAAACCTAAGATGATAAGACTACCTAAAATACCCTTTATTAGGCTTCCTGATTTGAAAATATATATAAGGTGCCTAACTGACCGGAACTTGTGCTAAGCGCGAGGTCTATCACATCTTGTATTGTGTATGGGTGTAGGTGTTCCTGAACTAGAAGTAGAAACTCTAACGGAATTACCCCCCTAACTCTACTACTATTGATGGTAAGAATTGTGGGGCTCATAGTCGGCGGAAGAATATTTATGACTAATGGCCTCTGGTAGAGGCAATAGAGACAGTCTTTAATAGTGAACTGATATTCTAGCCCGGAGGTAGGGCTTCCGAAAATCTGAGTATAGTGGTTGTATACTGTATGTCTATATGCTAGAATATGTTGTGCGGAATGTAAAAGGCAGACTAGGCAAATATGATTGCTTTGTATGTGAGATACCTGACTACTGAAGGACTTGAGTTGTTCTTTGCGTAAATTTGCTGAGGATACTGTGTTCTCCGAGAAGCGTTTATATAAGTGCGAAAAGTGAAGTTCTATTAGATTAGTTTCTTTTGCCGGATATATATCGGTCTATAAAGCCTTCGAAATGCAATATGTTGTATTAACAATAGAGCAATACAAAGTTTTAAATATTATGTGGGGATTCGTGGCTATCTGATGTCAGCCTTAGTGTATGAACTGGAATGTGGAGATAGGACCCACTAAGTATCTCGGGTACATAATAATCTATAAAAAGCGCGGACGAAATTGTGGTGGCTAATACAAAAAGAGGGAGATTGGCGTGATGGCCGATCTTAAGATAATATGCTAAATGTGGCTTTGTGTATAAACTAACTGGGCGATCCTTCCTCATAGCTTTTACGAAATTAAACGGATGAGAGATATCCTCTATGGTGTGTTGGATGGCTGATTGAAATAATGCTATTAAATGTGTCCTATTTGGCCGAGCTTGATTTTCTTGTTGAATGGAGGAAATGGCGTCGACCTATTCTGTGATCGACGCTTTGATTCGTTGAAATCTTGTGATATCAGAGAAATTATATTGTAGGTATAAAGATATAGAGCTGGAGAACAACCCTGATAGATTGTTATACCCGCTTTCTTGGACTTTCCGGTGGAGTAATCCTATATTATGTATACCCCTCTCTTCTTTTGTTACCGATGGGCTATAAACAAATATCGCCCTTGGTAAATGTTGTGATGAAAATGAGGACGCAGAACGAAGCTCTAAATAACTGATAAGAAAGTGTATGACCTTGTCAAGATAGGTAGTGTTGTCGATGAAGATGCAAACTATATCTGTGAAGACAAAAATCAACCGTAACCACAGAACTAGTAGTATTTTGGCTGCTGAATAGTTATTCTAAGAAACGGGATGGCTAACGCCGGTATTAAGTCTCTTGGCAGTATAGAATTTGTCAGTGTTCGGGATGTTACTATTAACTAACAATACTGGCTGGCGGCTTTGTAAAGATGTAATATTGTATTGCAGCTTTATTGGAGCCTTAGATTTATGCCTTTTTATATTGTTTAGAGGGTAGAGCTGCTGAAGAGCGTGATTCTTGGTTTTCCTACCGAGGAATATATATAATGATGGATATTGGTTATCTTGGTCGTATAACTCGGAGACTACACACCATAGCCGGCCGTAGTCTTGGATTGTAAATGTGGAATCTTCACGGGTGCTGATATCGAGCTAGCTAATATCTATCGAATTTTGTATGGCGAAAGTAAAAGTGAGAATAATGCTTCTCTGGTGCCTTACGGTGCGAAATATTTAAATATAAATCTAACCCTTTTATTTGACCAACGTGTTTTATAACTAGGGTGATAATATCATCCATATTTGTGGTGAATAAGACCTCTAGGTGGATTAGTTCCTAAAAGGGATTGGTACTAGGAAGGAAATAGACTTCTTATCTGGTTCTTATCTTGATCCACTTTTACTGGTATAGATCCCGGACTAT